AAACCATTAGCAGGTGCGGTGGTGGGAACATAGACTATTTCTCCCCCATGGTGTCTTATATTAGTTTAGTGTCAAATTTGCAGTCTTAATTTATGAAAGGTATAGAGCTTTATACATTTTGTCTTTATTTAAATGAATGTTTGAGGAGGTTTTGTATTGTGCTATAGTAGAAAGCTGCATCCTCTTACCATCAATATATCAGTCTTTGTGGAAGCTGAACAAGAAGAGATCCACTGGGACTTCTGCTTGTCTTTAAAAGGATGGCTTAATTTACTTGAAAGTGGCATGTAGCTGATGACCTTTGACCATCTTCATCAACATGAATGGAGATGGATGTTAAGAAGATGGTCCGAGAGATCTTTGTAAATTCTATGTTTGCCTCAGATAACAGCTTTGCAAAATCACAATCATAGCTGCAAATTGCATGCAAGCTGCTGGTTTTGTATTTGTTAGCAGCTTTAAAAGTCAGTGATACGTTAGTTGCAGATCAGATCGTGGAGCTTTTTGTTTGGATTTTGATTAAGCATTCGTCAACATGAATTTGGGGCAAAATGAATGACTTCAATCCACATAGAAATTTGGGGACTTTTCAAAACGAAGATTATTTTTTAGACACCTTTTTTTTTCTCTCTAATGTGCAAATCTTTTATGTCCTCTGTCACAATAACCTGAAATGGGTAGCATGACCCTTGGATTTGAAGAATACAGCAGCAAATAAGTAAAAGAAAATGCTACCCATTGCACATTTTTAGCTGTCACTTTATTTCTCAGCAGAGCCATATTGATGTGGAATTTCTTGGGATCTTGCTCATTTCTATGCAGATTTAGTTGCCGCCCTCGTGTCCTGTCACCTCTTCCTGTCGCCCTTTTCACCCGCTCTTCCCCACTCCTGAGCATTGTCATCTGCAGCAGATCCAGCTTTGTCATTCCAGTGTTAACAGTCAGGCAAGCTGACAGCCGCCCACTGTTTACCCATCAGGCTTTTTGCCATGTCGGGATGCAGGCTTTAAGAAAAGAGGTACAACTTTAAGCTTCATCAACATGCACAGCCAACAGCAACCCTCCCCTTTGGCAGCGAGCATGAGTGGGTGAAGGAAAATGAGGATGCACGGATGACACAGTGGCACACGAGTGTCACATCATCCATCAGTCTGTCACACACTGTCGCCCAGCTTCTCCCACAGAGGCTGTCGATCTGTAAACAAGAGAATGAAACACCAAGCTTCCTGGGGCAGACGGTGAGGCCTGAGCTAGCCTTTCCTGTATGACTCACTCTCTGGTAGAGGGCAGATTTTCCCAAAATGGGTTTGATCCACATAGCCAGGTGCTGATGACTAACAACTCTGCTGCAAACTGCTTGGGAGCGACTGGCTGTTTTAGGAGTGTTACAGTAATCAGAGGCTTGGCGCCATTTCCTAATCAAGAAGTACCTAGAAGAAACTTCTTCTGCTTCAGTATTTTGGCAAGACTAGTCCTAGTAGTTTGTTGGATTTGGACATTTTTAAATATTTTATTACGTGTTATCCGTTCTGCATGATTGCTAATTGTAGTTTTTACGGCCTTTTACAGGTTTACAGTTGCTAAATGTTATTTTTATGGTACGATTTTTGTGAAAGGATCTGTAGTTGTTGCTAAAATCCAGGTTTCTCCAAAGCAATTATTTGACGATGGCTCCAGTAACCCTTTTATCACTCACTGAACCAAGCAGTAATCAGCTATCTGCTGTGTGTCGGAAGACTGGGGGAAGGGACTCACTCAGTCCTTTATTGGCCCTCTAATTATTTTCCACGTCACATGATTAATATTGTCACTTTGATTTAGTTCTGAGCCCATTAGATGAAAGAGTCTGTGACAGAGGACATTGCTGGTACAGCAGAGGGTCAGCTGTGTTGCAGGCCTGCCGTATCTGGGCCTTGAAGGCTCCTCTGTCCTTTGGAGCAGGAAGGCTTTGGGCCAGACGGCTGGAGAGGGGCCTGCTGGCTGGGGACGGGACAGGGACCTGACTGGGGCCAAGATTTCCCTGAGCAGAAGTAGCTAGGATACAGCTGGTGTTCAAGCTGTGAACAGAGTGGAGCCCCTCCAAAACCAACTAGCCTGTTTATATCAAGACAAACCAGCAGCACCAGAGCCATGATCAATCTGCAGCTCATATGCAAGAACACAAGCGTTCTTCTTGATAAATTAAGAATATATATATATATATATATA